AACAGACCATTTACTACCTAATGGATCTTAACAGAGCCTTAAGGTAGTTAAAGCCTTAAGGTTTAGTAGCCTACCACTTAGAACTGTCAATTAAGAAGAGCCATTTAAAGACACATTATACGTCAATGTACCAATGTCGATGTATTAACTATTTTGTGTTTTCAGATTTACACAAGAGATGTAAAAACAGAATTGGCATCGATAAAAAAAAATAAAAAATAAAAAATAAGTGTGGTTAAGTTATATTTTAATTGGTATTATTATTTAAAGCCACATTATATTTTAAGCTGTTATATTGTTGTAACGCTTGCTTCAATTTTGGCATTACAATACCAGAAGAGTTTTGTTCATGATTTAACGTATAAGATTGTTTTTAACGTATAAGAAACTTGAAATTAAACCTATAGTAGCTTTTGTTTAAACATATAAATCATGTAGGTAAAAAATTGTAAATCAGCGTTGAGTTTTATCATAGATTAGACATACTCCCTTACTATGTTTAATCGATGGTTTTATAAAATAAATAGCATCAATAACTGCTATGAGTTTTTAGGAATTGATGATATTCAATATAGGGTAAGTTATTTGAAGTGATGAAATAGCTTAGGGGAAAAATTGGCCAAATTTTGGTAAAAATATATCAATAAATATGTTAACCACAACAGTTCACTTTTTGATCATAAGAATAACGATTCATGTGACATTTAGCATAAGAGGGCCAGAAAAAACAAGCCCCGATTGTTGCCCTTTAAAACACCTTCTCTATCTAGTCAGATTCTAGCTTTTATCTAGTTCTAATAAACGAGTGTTATTATGATCAACACTCGAAAGTGTTGGTATACGTGTGTACCAAATTTAATCGAAATCGGATGGCGTTTACAAGAGTTGACGTGCTACCAAACACCTTATATATATATATACCATTTTTACATACCTTTATGAATTTTTGAATCGATGGTGTTTTGGCATCTGAGCACAATAAAACAAAAATGAATATTGGTTCCGGGTCCAGGTCTACCACGAGACCGACGGTAGTAGCTTATTCCCGATATGGGAAGTTCGCTAAAAAGAAACAAATAGATTTGTAAATAGAAAACAATCATCCCTACAATTAAACGTTTTACCCCTTGGAAACTAGACTCGAAGAGCTACACAATGATGAATTATTATACATACATTCCTTTTTTTTCCATTATGAAAGCTTTAAGGGTTCCTTGGTATTGGATGGAAAAATCAAATTAGTTAAATTTACATGACAAGTTATTGCTAGTGTATATCACAATATAATTTCAAATATTATACGAGTAATAGTTTTTTTGTCACTTTTGTGAGGAAGATATAAAACTTAATTTCGTACCAGTGGTTAAAATGAAAACTCGTACTACTATAGAATATTTTCCAAATTAAATAAATTTAATTAAAATATACTTTTTCGATACGCAAAAAACAATACAAACTCATTCCAGCTAGTTAGAAAAAAAGCTGTTTAGAACAACTTACTACTATATTGGGTTGAAAATAATATTTCAAGCTCGTATGTACTTAACAGGATGATATAACATGGATATTGTATTATGAGAGTTTTACAGTTGGAACCAAAAGCTGTTTTCCGCATCACAAGCTTACCAACAACAATACATACCTGTCCAGTGTGAAGCTTAGTACGTAATCCACCGTCGTCGGTGATCCGGGCATTTGAACCGCCATGATCATTAGGGGGATTATAAGGGTCAAACCACAATGGAAATATTTTGATCACCATTCTGTTGGGGAAAGTTTTGACAATTATTTTAAAATTTATACTAATACTTTACTACTCAGTTCCCCATATTTTAAAACCATTTTTATTATTTTTTTGTGTCATATCTAAAATGTTAGAAACAACAATAATATCAGCTGTTATACAGCACACTATTTGTAATATCTTTACCATCTTATTTTCACCCTTACACCCCCTTACCATGCGTGTTAACTATTGTATATATTGTGTTTTCAGATTTACACAGAAGATATTGTAACATAATTTGCTTGCATTAGAAAAATAAAAAACGTTACTGGCTTGAAAGTAATTCTTGGAAGTAAGTACAGCTAGTATAGAAATTCGGGCTATTGCGGTAATTTGTTAATGTTAATGATACAGTTTCTGTTCTAATAATCTTGATCGATACATAGAGTGTGGCAAAGCCGACTGTAGGAACCCACTTTTGCTTGTAGCTTCTACAAAACCAGCCACTGGAAACTTCCTTTAACCACATTAAACAAATTATTTTTCCTACAGTCACCCTACAAAGTTGGCCTCCTTGTACTGTTTATAGTACAGAAAGCTGCTAATTGCTGCATATTTATACTTTGCCGTACGGTTTATACTTTGCCGCACATCAGGATTCCAACGAAACAACACAAAACAGCGTGGTTTTATTATGCACGTAATCCTTGTACGCTTGGAAATAGGTTGGCAACACTTAATGATAAAAATACTATGAGCAGCTGATTGACTATTATAACTACGATTTAACCTGTCATTTCGTGTTTATAGTTTCGGTATTTCTGAACTTTCTGAACTTTTCTTTTAAACGTTTTTAAAACATTCTTACGATCTTAATAAACAAGAAAATACCTTTAAAGCATTTTTTTAGGCGCGGAAACCACTTCAAATTAGAAAAACATATGGAACTATATTCTCAAAACGCGGAGCACATTTCTTGCCGAGGAAAAATAGCGGAGTGATACGGACCGCGGGTACTACTTTCTCTAGGGCACCATTTCATTTGTGTTGCCAGCTGAACCTAAAAACGTGTTGTATAGTGTTTGAAAGACTAATTTTTTATATGCTTTATAGTGACTGTAGGAAAAATATAATGTGTAACACGAGTGAAAAAGGCCTTTGCTGCACTCGAGATCATTCCGCACTCGCCTGCGGCTCGTGCGTAAACATTGCTCTCGTGTGCAGCAAAGTGCCACTTTCACCACTAGTTACACAAATAACTATATACACCTAAATATGCTTTAAAGTTGATAAAATTGGTATCATTAGTAACCGTGTAAAATTTTACTTCCCTCTGGTCTCAATTCACTTTACAGATGGAAGTAGTGATTCAATGGATCGCAAAGGGTTCAACCATTACACTCAACACACGAAGGTCGTTCAATTGTTTACCTACGAGAGTATGTAAAACGTCCCCAAGGGTGAATGGAATCAAACAACCCTAGACAAACACAAAGAGACATCACAAGTTTAGCCCGATCTGTATTCAAGGAACGCTTCTTTCCGCAAACCAATACTGGAAAATAAATTGGTGTCCCTATGAATTATTTAAACTTTGCCTTAGAACTGTACTCATTTGCTTCATAGAACTTTTATCATTCGTTTTATAGAGGATTATTTTAGCATATTTTAATTGACTAATACGTGTTGACAAATATAGTAAAACAAACGACTCATAGAAACTGACAATATCTTAAGCGATAACTACAAGACATGATAATTATAAATCTTTGTTTTTAGGGATACAAAGAGGAGTTGGTTCAAATTAATTATATTTTGCGAAATTATGAAAATGTAATGCTTTCGCTGCAGTTTGATTTCGGAGTTTCTGTTTGGAAATCCTACTCTCATTTTGTTAAAACATTTATTCAAACGATCAGCTACAAACTTAAAATGGTTGGCAGATTTATTATAAATCAAAGTGTAAGCATATGTTTTATTTCCTAACTCTTTTTAACTTAATTCAGATAGAAACTATATTTTCTGGATATATCCTAAATTTGCTATAACTGTTTACTATTTTATTGTTTTAAAAAGCAAAATAATGAATCAATAAAAAATCTTTTAAATACTTTAGCCTGGATCATGTTGGCAAAATTAATTATTGGCAAATTAATCTCTTGAATAATACAGTTAGTAGTTTAAATACTTTAGTACTATTAGTTATGATATCACCAATCATTATTTTTTTTTCTTCTTCCATGAATTTTACCGTAAAATAAATTTATGGTGAAACTGTTAAACCTACCTAACATGCTGTAGTATAGAGTGTAGTCTTGGGCCGTAACGTAAACTTCAAAAGCTCGTTTGATTTAATGTTGTTGTTTGTTGTGAATTGATTCTACAAGTTGGAAACTGATATTACATACAATTTTGGCCATAATTCATTACCACACGGTGATTTATGTTAATAATTGAGAAACTATCCCATAATCATATGTTTTATACAAAATGAACAGAGACACAAGGAGTTGTAATTTAAAGAGTTATATTTTTCCAGTGACAGCTGCGCTTTGGTGTGCACTGTAAAAGCTTAAGCTTACACCAGACAATATTATGCTACCATTTTGTACCCATTAAGTGTAACAGCTAACAATCCTCTCTTGGGATCAATAAAACTCCAAGAGAAAACCAATATGTTTATTACGTCTATAAGTATATAAAACGTTCAATTTGATTTGCTTACTCTACGTTACGTAATTAACAAATATATATTAATTATTATACTTTACAATATAAACAGCCAATGTTCCACTAATCACGAGTTCTCAACATTTTTTTTATAAAACCGTTTCTTACAACAAATATTATCTTAATTGCATATTATTACCACTCAGGGAATCTTACTTTAAAACGAACCTCAAAGATTAATCCTTACTTTACAACGAACCTCAAAGATTAATCCTTATTATGAGTACAAATACTGAAAGGTTTTATAAGATTCAGATTAAAAAAAATTTCTATTCCAACGAAAGGTCAAAACGTCTTTCAAAACCAGTTTAAAATTAAATACTCATCTTATATAACCAATATATGGTGTATATGCTAAATTAGTCATTCTTTTTAGTTACGTAAGAAATAAACCAACAATACTTCTGTCCAAAGTACATTAGAAACGTATTTTTAAAATTTTGTACATCATATAATCATAATATGATATTATAATATTGGTTATTATAATATTATTCATAATTCGAATAGAACTAACTAAACTTTTGATTTCTACATACTATCAAACATTTTATGGCAAATACCACAGTTATAATAAAACCATTAACAGTACTGTATATTTAAAACCGGTCCATATTTGCTGATCCTTAACGTTACACATAAATGATATGACTAAAGATAAATTGTAACCTAAGATGTAAGAAATATAATAATGGTCATTTAAAACGTGTGTAAGCCCTCAAATTTCTCATTCTATTTAACATCTGCTAATTTATTGCTTTGTTTATATTATAAAAGCTTCTTACATAAAATATATGTAAAAATATAACTGGTTAAACACGTTTAAGCGCTAGTATTGTACTGGAAGTTATGAAACTAGCTTAAACAAATAAGCAATTTCGCTACAAACACTTTATACAAATTTGTTCGCTGTATTTCAATATTGATTATCATTACGTACTCAATTAGCAATGGGATTGTATCACTATCTACTTAGAAATGGTACTGTAGAAATCAAAATAATATTAAATAATATTCCTCTTAGACAACTTCTTTTTGTGGCTGAGCTGGAATCTGAAACAAAAAAAGAGTTTAAACAGTGCTATTTTCACATTATTGACACGTGTTTTGTCAAAATAATATTTTACCTGTAGAAGTTCAAGGTTAGCAAGACCCTTCCTAAATATTTCGCTTAACTCAAATGCTTTTAAATTATTGAATATTTGAGAGTCTGTTATTTTTAATTTCACTCCTTCTACATATTATTCAGAGAAAGTATTGTTTTCGTCAAGATTTTTAAGTGGACATATCCGTTTTAGGTACCCCTGAACCCATATGTGTGTGTGGATGTGTACAGAGCTACAGACAACACCTAAGGTCTGATTTTGATGAAATTTTTTATTTGGGTACTGAAGTATCCATTTTATGTCCAGAGGTTTAATTTTCTTTTAATTTAGATTTTTTAATGGAGCGTTTCCCAAAAAACCTGTAAATAACGCGGAATGTTCATATTTTATAAAAACGGCATGACCGATTTTAATTAAACTTTGTTTGCTATAGCCATTTTTACTTTAAATAAAGTGATACAACAACCGTTGCTGTAAAATATATGGTTCAAAAACTATTGAAATTTTTGTGATTTTTCCTATAAAATATTGTAGTGACTCCACTCATCCTTCTACATGATAAGGATTGTTGAAAATATAATAAAAGAAAGTACGTTCATTTCTACTGATTCCGTTTCCGTTTATCACCTACACAAATAATCGTGGAAAATAATATGGATAAAAATGAACTAGTAAAAATAAAACAATACCTTGATGTTGAGCAGTCGGTCCCAACACTGGTGCCAGCTGAGGGGTGTCTTCAAATACATCCAACTCAGCACTCCTGCGATACAAAGTGAACTGTGCTGCGTCACATCTCAGTCTCAGTCTGCCCTGCAGGAAGACTTTGGATGAGGCCGCAACCTCCAACTGAGACACTGAACCTTCGTGTGAGCTGTCCTGGAGTATCCTGACGTATGGAGAGTGGTGGACCTACGGAACAAACCGTGGCAAAGAATGTTCAAGATTTGGTCTCGTAAAGAACTATTTAGTTTGATTCAGACGACATAAATATGTAATGCATTAACACATCCAAAACCTTCCTCCACAGTTTTGACTAGTGAATGAAAATGGATTCTACAACAACTATAAGCCTTGGCTATAATGTTAAGTCAGAGCAGTATCGAAAATTAATGGATTTTCTAAATCAGATAGGCTATGGTAATTGAATTACATTGAAAAAATCAATATAGCTGATGTTTCAGGCAGCATGAAAATATATATTCACCAAAAGTCATGCGTGTTGTATATTTTATTCATGATGGTCATAACAGTTTATTTTAGATACAGTTTGTGCATTATAGAATATAACGTTTATCTAGAGCACCAAGTATGTTTTGGACTAGCGGAATGAGCGCTGGACTTCTAATCCAGCTATGCGATAATATTGGCCCAGCTGAAACAATCAATGTTGTTCTCTTTCTCTTCGGTTAGTCCACCGTCTAACAAAAAAATATAGGCATTTGCGACATTAAGAAGCTTTTTAAAAACGTATTTATGCCAGTCAGTCACTCAGTTTTTACAAGACGGACTATTAAATCAAAACGAAGATATCTAAGTTTGCGTCTCAGTGCCACCAACTGAAATTAGTAAGATCATTTCCTTCTTGTACAATACTAGCTGACCATTTTCTTTGTTTGATACGATCCAATCACTGAAAGGCTGAAGAAGCCCATATATTGACGAATTATTGGTCGTGTATAGTATTGACGAATTATACATTATTAGAGGACAACCAACCATTTTAACTAATTATACTGAAACCAATACAATTATTTTTACAGTACCATCACAAAGATATCTTTAATGGTGGGATACAGTCACACTTTGCAATCCAACTACTAAATATCCACACTCAACTCAAAGATGCAATTGCAGATTGTACAGATTTTCATCTCTAAATATCCATTAATTTGACAAGTCACATGTTTTTACAGAATTGAATCAAAACCCAATTACTTTGCATTATAATTTATTGTTACTAACCAGTTGTCCATTGATGTACCAAGTTAGATTGGCCGCTGGAAGACCACCCTGGGATGTGCAGTTGGCTTTGATTTTCTCTCCTATGCTGTACTTGAATTTCTCTGATGCTATTGTGGGTAATGCCCAAGGTTCTTCTGCAAGCAAATGAAAATTGGGCTTTAAAATACAGGGTGGCGCAGATGGATCGGGTGGTTTTAAAATAATTGTCAAACCGTCAATTTTAAAGGTATTGGATTGAAATAAAGTGCAACACGTGTAGTTACAATGGAAGATAATTGACAAAAAATTATTTAAGTTAGTTTTTAAAAATTACATCCATCAAATGCCTTCCTTCTCGAGCGACGCATTCTTGGAGTCGGTCCTTGAGGTTCCGCATTGCTCGCTCAAGCACATCACCAGGAATTGATGTGATTTCGTTGTGAATTGCAGTTTTCAACTCCTGAAGCAAGGGTCTACATGAACAAACCCCGGACAATTAAGGAGTTGAAGGCTGCAATTCACAACAAAATCTTATCAATTCCTGGTGATGTGCTTGAGCGAGCAATGCGGAACCTCCAAGAATGCGTCGCTCGAGAAGGAAGGCATTTGATGGATGTAATTTTTAAAAACTAACTTAAATAATTTTTTGTCAACAAACTTCCATTGTAACTACACGTTTTGCACTTTATTTCAATCCAATACCTTTAAAATTGACGGTTTGACAAGTATTTTAAAACCACCCGATCCATCTGCGCCACCCTGTATAATGATTACAATTATTGTATACCTTGGCTAGGTCCCATGCATTATGTTGATAACCGCTGCGCCAATGCGTTTGTTGAAGCAGCCTCTTTATTGGATACCTCCAAACACAAGAAACCATCGATAATTTTTCAATTATTTTGGTTTATTTTAATACCTAATTTACTTTTAACAATAATTTGTAGGTCTATTATTACTGGAATTTTTTTCCTATCATGCTTACCAACTTGTCAACTAAACCAACCTGTGATTGTAACATAGGCTGTCTGTATCCCAGTATGAAAAAGAGGAGCGTCCGCAGAAACTTCACATTTGTAGTATCCTGTCATGCCTCGATCTACATTGCTGAGTGTTACTGCGCTGCTGTTGGATCTGAATATCTGTGACACAATTGTAACCAACTTAATTGCATATCATAACAATCCTTCATCAACCTTGAACATGGTTGTATGTCAACAATCATGGGTTGAGAACAATTTTAAGAAAATTATAAGAATGGCTAAATGTAAATATTATTTTGTTTTTTTGAAAATAAGATTATGAAAGAAAGAGCGGAATATGTTAAACAAAAAAATCCTATAATTGCAATAACATAACATTTTAGATCTTCCTACACAAAAATTGTTTTTTTTTCTATTCTTTTATCGAACAAATTAACTTACATCAACTGTCACTCCTTCTATCGGGAACACTCTTGTAGGTGGAGACTCTTCTGGGACGTAGCGATAGAACTCTGTGTCTCCTTGGTAGAACTTGACCGAGTAGAGATGTTCATGTTCGAGACTAAAGTCACATCCTAAAGTCAGACTGTCTCCTGCCTTGACAGCTTCAGGGACACGCAGCCTCACATCCTTCAGCCCCCAGTAACCTGTGGACACAACATTCATGAGAAGTTGGAACAGTGTGTTTATCCAAACATCTTTACAGAATGCATGCCATGAGTAGATAAATTTCATGTTCAAAGCAGACGTAATCTGTCAGATGTATCTAATGCCACATCTTCTATCCATTATACTGTAACCTTTAGATACAACACACATCACTAGATTTAACTGTAGTGTCTATACAACATGACACAGTATAGATGTTTAAAAGCAATGACGTCACATCCCAGATTCAGTCTCACTCCTACTGGTGTCACATCCTTACGGCCCGACAAGTTTGTAGATACAACACACAACATCACTAGGTTTAACTGTAGTGTTTATACAACATGACACAGTAGAGATGTTCCAGGGAAGTAAAGTCACATTGCAGAGTCAGACACTTGCCTTTACAGACAGACACGCCAAAAATTATGGCAAACGCTAGACTCCACTTGCCTTTATAGCTTCAGGGACACAAATCGTCACATCCTATAGGCCCGGGTTACCTGTAGAGCCAACATACAACATCAGTAGATGCAACTGTAGTGTCTAGACAACATTAGAGAGGTTCTAGGAAGGTAAATTTACACCTTAGAGTCCAATACCAGCCTTCAAACCTTCAGGGACATGCAGTCTCACATCTTTCAGTGATAGATTAGAGTGATAGATAAAAGTCTGTAGAGATTCAGATGTTCCATAAGATAATACATTTTATTAAGTGTAGATAAAATCAAGGTGAAAGTATAGTTTATGTCATAACTGAAATCACATACACGTATAAACACAATTAAAAATCAGTAGCTGTAACAGAGTGGGTCAAAACTGGAGACAGAAGAAATGTTAATGCTTCAAGCTGAAATTACACCCCAGAGTCACATTTTTCTTGTTCTCTAGTGTCCCGTGGTTACACTTTTAACAAATTTTATTTGTTTACCACTAATAGGTTTTGAACAGCCCTTGCAGCTCGTGAAAAATAAGGACATGCATTTTTACTCATAAAAAATCATTGGTATACTCAAAAATCAATCATTGTTCGGGATTTTTTCTTTTTCTAAATATTTCATAACCTATCCGTGAGGTTTTGAAACGGTTAGGCAAATAGAGCCCCTCTTGAAACAGAATTAGCTATACAACGCTCTACAAACTACATAAAGGTAGTATATAGGACGAAATAACAGACAACAGTTCAAGAAAGCAAGCCTTAGTATTAAGTCTAGGAAGTATAACAGTTAAAGGTTTATACTCAATAGCCTAACCCATTAATTTTTTTGTCTAAATGTCTGTCTGATAATATGTAATTTACTGCAACCATATAAACGATATGCGTAGTCTTTGTTAAAACCTCTTTTATAAAAATAGTGTCTAATAATGTGGGGTGATCAATCATTTTCACGAAACATTCAAGGATATTATTGTATGATATGTGTTCTAAAATTGCAAAAACGAGTGCAATAACTGCCTAGTGTGCGAAGATTGCCACCTTTCTGTCATTGTTACTATCAAAGTCATCTCTAAACAAGAACTGTAAAATAAATTGTGAAAAGTGTCTCGTACAATTGCCTAGAGTGTAAACAGAAGCAGACAATATGTTACCATAACTGTAACAGATACTGTTGTTTGAGGATGTTACAGAAGTACACTCCATTAAACTAAAGGTTTCATTTTTATTCTCGTTGATGTTTTTATATTAAATCTTATAACGGATAAAAAATTTGAAATAATGAAAGCATGGTGGTGTTTGATAATTAAGAAAATTAGGAAATGACTTCATCAAATTAAATTATCACCATCATTATGTTTGAAACTACTATAAAAAAGTATGCATGTATAATATCTACTGCGTGGTATGTAAACAATAGCAAACAATGTGTTATCATAACTGACCAAGCCATAATATTATGAGAACTGTAATAGAACGTGTAAAAACGTGTCTAGTGTTACTAGATAATTTATGAACGATTGCCGTCATTTCTGCTACACATTTATTGCCGTTGTGACTAAAGTAATGTGATTTCACTGCATAGATAATGAAAAACAAGAGATAATATCTAAAAATAACTGCCCGGGAGATATTTCTACGACAGCAGTAAAAGAAAGTGTGAAAACGTGTCTAATGTTACTGCATAGAGTGTGAACAATAGCAGACAATACGTCACCATAACTGTCAGCGACATCTTTGTTTGAGATACGTAGATGTTGCCATTAGTGTTGAGGAGACATTCTGCAGTATTGTTTCGGTAAAAGTCGTAGATGGAATTACACCCGACATAGTTTAATGGCATAGATCACTTATCAGACGTCTGCATTAGTAAGTCAATATGAATATTTTACATCGTAAGTTTAATGATTGCCTTAAAGTCAGTTTTTCGTGCCACTTAAATAATTTTGTCCATCAAAGAAACTAGTAAATGTGTATTTTTTTTTTTTTTTTAGATTAACTTTCTTAGATTATCCGTCCTTAAATTAAGTAAAATAGTATACTAGCCAATGTGTTTTATGGCGTATTTTTATTTTTTTTAATTTCATACTTGGGTAAAAGTTTTCCTAATGTTTTTATCACTGTGAAAATGCTTAGAAACTACCTGTATTTTTATTTAAAAACACTTGTACTCTGATACTATTATTTTTTATATTTTATGAATTACGTGTATTTTTTATGGGGAGTAATGCATCATTTGCTTCATATGACGTTTCATTTTACCAATGAGTGAGGGAAAACGTTTAGGATTGTAGAAGAAAAAACATTAATTATAATGTTAATCATAAATTAACATATGAATTAAATAAATAAATGAGAGAACAATTTTATTTAAACGTAGGACAAATATCACTGAGGTCCTTGTCAAATTCAATGGAAATAGGCATTTAGTGCATGATAATGACAAGGCCCAATGGGTTGGAATCCACCATAAGCTGAAATTTTAAAACTCTTTTAAAATCTGAAATATATTACATCCTGTTTTTATTGGGTGTTATCGTTTTACAAAGGTTTTGCTGAAAGCTTTACGAAACGTTTTATAACCAAATCAACTTAACAATGCAATTATAAGATACAGTACGTAACATACTTCGATTAGTATAATGTTATAAGTGTTATAAGAGTGTATAAGAGTTTTTGGCCTATATGTTATGTTGAATTGATATAAGTGTCAAAGTGTATGCTCTACCAAAAGGGAAAATAGAATAGTGAAGTTTTAAAATTATATATCTAAGGAGGAGGCTAAGGAGAACAGACTCCAACTCAATTTTTTGTTACTGGGGAGTACCTTATCATTTTTTAAGGTATTATTCTAGTTTTACTACTCCTTTTAAATAAGAAAGTATGCATTTGTTTTTAATGAATTGTAAAATATTCCTTGAATTGTTTCTTTCCTCATAATTTTTAATTTTTTATCTCATTAGACACATAGTACTGTATAAATATTCAGTGAAACTCAAATTTCAGTTAAATATTAACATTAAATAATATATTTGGACAAATCAAATAATTACATAATGATATCCTCCTCCCAACAAAATCTTAATTCACTGTTAACACAATCCAATCAACAAAACAAAGTTTATGATTGAATAATTACGTTGTTACGAAAGGTGTTGAATGGGGTGGAAGTTTCCTTATCATCAAACAATTAACAAGGAAAACAAAGTACAACAACCTCAGAGTTAAGTTCTGGTTTCACTTGTGGCTTATTATCCCCCCCCCTTTTCTATCTCCCCCCCACTCCTCATCCCTCTTCTCATCAACAAAGGTCATTCTCTGATTAGGTGGTATTCAGCAGAGTATTATGTTGGATTTCAGCCAGCCCTTGTGATACTGGCTTGTTAGTTCTCCGATGTTAAATTTATCACTTTGAATATAATTTAGCTCCAAACTATTGGGGAACTGTTTCAACTGGTACATTAGGGATTGTTAGATTTAATATTTGGATTTATGTATGCTAAGCTACCTAAACACATTTGCTTACAAAACTTATTTGAGAAAAGCAGCATATTTCTTATCTTAAAAAATGTGATCTGTGTTTAATCTATGTTTACAATTCAAAGTGCAAACAACGTAGATACATATTTATTTTAATATAAAAGAACTAGCTATCTTCATCGTCGTCATCATTTTCAAAAGGGTAGTTAAATCGGGTATAGTGCTCACCTAACATACAAAACGTTGCCGGATTGATCCTGAGAAAAGTCAGTAGCTTTTTGATAGTTCAAAACTGGGCTCAACTGTTCCTAATCACCGGGCTTAAATGATATGATCTTGGATAATAATTCAGTTGGTCTTGTCAGTAAAAAAGCTGCGCAGATCATCTCACTACATTCTAATCATATATTTCAGTCATATTTTGGACAAAATATGCACCTAGGTGGCGTCCCCATCTCAATTGAACATTTATAATAACTGTAAAATAAACCAAATATCCTATGTTATCATGAACATTATTGTTATTGGTTTCCCATCCATAATAATTGCTCGAAGTAAAATTGTTGGGTATATATTTGTTCAGCAACGTATCAGCGTATCTCTTAGTGTGTAATGTTAATTTTTTGCTTTTTACTTTTACTCTTTACATTTTACTTAGACTAGTTTGAGATAAGGACTACTTTACATTTTACTTAGACTACATTGAGATAAGGAAAGTTTAGATCGTATTTAGCAAGACAATAGTTTTTTTATCGTCTTTATTTTAAACTAATAATGCTATCTAAAAAAAACATTTGACTTTCTTGTTCTCTTCTCCATTGAACCGGTAACCTTCTGATTCAAAGGCTACTATTGTAACCGATAAGGTATTTTTAGGAGTTTTTAGCATAAGTTGATAAGTTAAACACTAAAAATGTACAGTATTAGGGGCCTAATTTTGTTTATTAGGTTACATTTATACTGGCTTTATATAAGAAGAAGTTAATAAAAGTAAGATTTTACAGTTTAATTTAGTTCTAAACAGCAGTTTTATTTCACACTTTAAACATTTTGAACATTCTTCTACAATACTTGTCAAATTTT